CACTTTTTTTTTCTGTATACAAAAGGTTTTTTCCTTTTTTGTTTTACGGCAACTTATATGTTTATTTTTATAAAAATTTTAGTTAAAGAGAGGTGGATACTAGTCCCATATAGGCTAAATAGATAAATGAAACGAAGACGAACAAGTATATAATTGTAAGAGAACTTGCAACAATGATATTGATTGTATCTTTGTCCCATATTTCTTGGTGACACAACTAGTTGACAAGCGAGCTCATTATAAATCTAAGAGTCCCTCAGGTTGAATTTATATTGCCTTTGGTTCTTATTAAAGTTTATTGTAATTTACACAATATTGTGATACAAGCATGAGCTGATCATTGGCTTTTTATGTTAGCTTACAAACAAGTCAAACATAAGCCTATTAAATTAGTCTTGAGCAAAAATAACGGGTATCCGACGGGTTTTTTCTATCCGATGGGTTTTTTTCCACCCGAATCCGTTGGGGATTAGGCGGGTCGGAGGCGGGGATGGTTGTGGGGATTGGATTCGGGTACGGGGATGGAGATTGTAGTCCTCGCCAATATCCGCCTCCGTTTGCATCCCTACTCGGGACATCTACTGGTGCGGAATGCGTTGGCGACATCAGCCAACCATCTAGTACTCGCAATGGGGTCCCGAACCCCATGATAGTCGGGAGCTCCACATGCTCTGAACTCTCGGAAAGTGAGTGTGCGCGACCCCATCATGGCCGCCACCTCAGTGCAGAAGGCACTAAATCTCTCATCCATGAGCTCCAGGATACCCTCCTTGATCGAACCGAAGATCACAAGAGTCTGCTCAAGAATACTGCGCGTGATATCTGAGGAGATGAACTCCCTAGTCTGCTCGTCTAGCTGCTCAGCTCCAGAGCCTGAGTCTGATCCCTCACCGGCACCTGAACTGCCCAACTGCTGGTCTAGGGCGTAAAACCACCATTCTGAAAAACACATCATAACAAACATCAAAATACTAAACATAACTCGAGGGATCTCATACACTACAAGTTCCCTGGATTAATCTCAACCTTCCTTGATTCGAGTACGGATCCTCTGCTTTCAGTAGTATGGGCCCATACTACCATCCACATCTATCCGTACTTTCCTCAAGAACTGCCTTGACTCTCTAAGTCCCTTCTACTACTACTGCTTCACGCGCTACTCTCATCCTAGGCTTACCCTAGGGTAATCACCATCCCACTCTCCGCCATCAGCTGCATAAGAACTCCCTGTTATCTTCCCCTAACTAGCTCGCGAATACTATTACATATCACTAAGACTAGATAATTCTTCGAATGAGAGGTTTTACCCTACAATGGTTAGACTCAAATGAGAGCTGCAAAATAAGGCTAAACCTAACCTTCTGAAATTATTTAGTCCGTGCAATATGTAACTTAACATATTCGTTTACTAGTTAGTAAAAGATAAATAGAACTCCTAAAAACCACAAAGAAAGTAGCATTCGAGCATTGAGTACACATAATCAAGCATATACTTCTTAGGCTATCCCTGACTAATCTATACTAGCATGCAATTCTCATAAGCTGATACACATATAACAAGCACATAAGGCATCCTTCCTAGATCCTTAGTCCTAATCCAGCATGCAGTTCTCATAGAGCTGATAATCATATCATAACATAAACTTGTATGGGTAATTTGGGAGTACTTACTTGAGCTCGGATGATTGCATGCACCACACCCTTTTCTTTTTTCAAACTTCTTTTCTTTTCTCAAAATTCTTTTCTCTTTTCTAAATTCTTTTCTCTTTTCTAAATTCCTTTTATAAAAATGATTTCCTTTTGAAAATTTTCATACCAAGTCCTTAGTTTGAGTTCAGACACACCCGAGAGTGTGCCCGAATCCCTCAAACCAAGGCTCTGATACCAACTTGAAACATCCCAAAAATACAGCCCAAAAATTTCGTTTTAAAAACTTATAGTAAACCATAAATCATCCATCATCATAATAAAAAATCAAGAACCATGTTTCTCAAAACATCATGTCAAATACTGTATCAAAATCATATGAGTAAATATCATAGTCTAAAACAATCCCAGGCTGAAACTGTGGTGTGTGCCATGCGATCATCCCGAGCCTTTTCCTTTGCTAGTCGAAGTACCTGAAACCAAAACTGATAAATATAAGCACAAAGCTTAGTTAGTCTCCCCAAACTACCAAATACCATACAAATAACGTATAACATGTAACATAAACTTTGGGACACCGCCCAACTGCATCAGGACGAACCCGACATTGGCTTACCCGACATCGGACTTCTGCCTGGCATCGGGCTCACCCCGGCATCAGACTACGTCTGGCATTGGGCTCACCCCAGCATCGAGCTTGCCCCGACACATATACAACATTTCATATATCATAAACACATAACATACACATATAACATACATCAGGCTTACCCCGACATCGGACCGAAGACCAAATCACATAACAGATAACATATAAACTAACATGCATCGGGCTTACCCCGGAACACATAACACATAACAGATACACTATCATACATCGGGCTTGCCCCGGAACACATAACACATAACATGTATGAATCACAAAGACATCAAGCATACATATACTCTTCTCGGGACCGCCCCGACATCGGACCGTAGTCTGGAACTACTAACAACTAAACGGGCCGGCATTGTGGCCTTTGATCCGTTCCTAATGGAGGAAAACTCACCTCTCAAACTGGATGCTGAACTCGTGCGTGAGGAATCTCTGCTGGCTGCTCTTACGACTCCCCGACTAACTCTATACAAAAATACTTAGTCAAACAAACTGAGAATCCTTCTAAGGGTAAAATGACCATTTTACCCCTGCTCTGATTTGGACCATAATCAAGGCCTAATTCCATCTAATCTTTCTAAGTCCACTAATGGCCCATTAAAGGCCCACTAATGGCCAAATTTGCTAAATTGAGCCCATTCCCTCAAATGGGCCCTACCCTAAGCCCAAACAATTCTTAGCCCATATTATCTGACTTTTGATGGCCCACTAAGGCCTAAAGACCCAAAGTCCAAAGTATGGGCCAAACCGAGGCCTAAAACACGCCAAGCCCATATCTGTTAAGTACGCGGGGCGTACTCCTATGTACGTTAAGCATACTGGCTAGATGGCGTGTACGCTGCGCGTACCTGCATGTACGCCCAATGTACTTCTCTGTTAAGTCACTTTTCCCATTAAGTGCTTAATACTCTAATCCAAAGGCTATAAACACAGATCCAAGTCCTCTTCAATGTCTTGATCCATAAAGCCGATTACTTGGTGGCTTGCAACCCACCAAATGAGCCCAAACATAGAATAATAGCAACTAACTCCATAGAAATGGCTAGATCTCATGCATGGTTACATAAAGGCCTTAAAGGTTGAAACTTTACTGAAAGGAATGCTTTGAGCTCCAAGGGTGGCAACCCTAAGCTAAAAAACGAAGTTGCATGATAAAGATCCATCCTTTGGACCTAAAAAGGTCCAAAGCTCCATAATCCTAGATCTAAGCTTCTAAGAGGAAAGTTGGAAGCTTTATACCTCCTTTGAGTGCCAAAAGATGAAATAGTCCCAGATCCTTGAGCTCAAGATACTCAAGTTCTTCTTCTTCAACTCCTCTTTTCTTCTTCCAAGCTTTTCTTCACCAAAATAATATCAAAAGGTCAAACACACACAACAATGGAGTATGAGGGCGTATTAGGGTTTTCTGAGGGTGAGGGACTGGTAAGGAGGCTAGGGTTTGAGCCATAATGGGTTATTTATATGGCTTAAACCCTAAAAATTAGGGTTTTGAGTCTGGTCACGTACGCTGCGCGTACGTGCATGCCCCGCATCCTAGGCGCCTCTACGCCCCGCGTACGCCAGGTTACGCCCAACGTACGACTTATGGACAACCCAACTATTTAGCCCACTCCAAAATCCACTTGTCCCAATATTAGTCCACTAACAAATATTAATTACTTAAATTAAATAATACCTCGAGAGACGAATGTTACATTTTTTAAAACTAATTGCGGGCCAAAATCAAGAACCAACCCCCTCTTATTCCATCTTTGTCTCGAGTTGCATGTTGCCAAGAGAAAAAACAACAGGTGAACTATGGTGATAATGGGCAGAAGGCAACGTTATGGATGATGGGGACCAATTTAGAACATGGGTTCGTGATGGTGTAGGTTCAATGTGATGAAGGTAGGTGTTCAGTGATGAAGAATGCATAAGGTGGGTCAGAGATGGTGCGATGGTGTCTGGTGATGAGTGATCTGAGATTCTAGCTTGGATGCTATTGGAGTTTTGTGGTGAAGATGGTGGTTGGTATGGAGGAATAAGGGCTGTGTTGAGATGGTGAAGATGATGGTTTCTTTATTGGTGGTGGCGGATGGTGGTGACAGAGTGTGGTAGTGGTGGCAGTGGCTAGTGGTAGTAAATGGTGATGTGTTAATATGATGACTTTTATAAGAATGATGATCGGCTAAGATGATGCAAAACATGATAAAATGTTAAGATAAAAAATTAGGTAAATATAATACATTAATGAACCAACATAAAAACAGACTTAAAATATAACAAAACATTTCATATAAATATAAAGGCTTTTATCGTAATAACCCATTTAACAAAAAAAAAACTTTAGTAACAAACTTTATCAATAACCCTATTCATTATAGATTATGCATCTAAATTCAATCACCTAATGTGGTGCATTGATCCCATCCTAAGGCCATCTACAATGAGAGTTGTATGAGGGTTTAATGGAATAAATGTGAATATAATATAGAGAAGAGAGAGTGTGAAGTTGAATGACCATTGAACGGTGGAATGAAGTTGTAACTGAAAATTTATTAATTTTTTAAGAATTAAAGTGAATGTGTTTCTTTTCTAGTTGGCAATCCATACAACTTTCCGTGGGTTTAATCCATTGGAGATGGCCTAAACCGCATGAAAGTGTAATTTACTCCATATATATAAAGATGAGGTGGGGCATAGTTGATTTATCATTTGGAGTTTGGACCACTCGCAAGTCACAACCTTTTCTTCTCCAAAGTCCCAACTTAGAACCCCGGAATAATGGGGTCACTGGGTGGTGGTGGCTTTGGCCATAATGGAATTTGGGGAATGCGCCCTTTTGATTCTCAAAATGGAGACAAAGGAAGAAGGAAATCACCCAAATCATCAGGATCATCTCCGGCTTCCCCAGAAGCCGGTGGTCGTTTCCCTGTGAAACAAGCAGCGACGGCCGCTGCTCTTGCCCTAACCGGTGACACTATTGCTCAGGTTCGCGAGAGATGGGTCAAAAATAAAGCTCTCCAAAATCAACATCCTTCCGATTCTCATGAGGTCAGTCACCTTTAATTCATACATTTCATCCTCTTTTTATTCCAAATGCAAGCTACTTTATGGATGAAATATTGAATACAGCCGAGGGTAATAGCTACAATACATTAGTTCAATAACAACATACTTACTTCCATTCATTTGTTTATCTCAACATTCTATTTTCGTTTCTTCCTGAGATTTGTGCATTTACAAAGTGAAAAGCAATTTTGATTATAAGATTTGAAATTACTATCTATTAGGATTTGACATGGAGTCTTATGGACCATAATTGGCTTCGAGCTCTCAGAATGGCGTCTTATGGGTTCCTTCTTTATGGACCTGGCTCTTATGTCTGGTACCAGTATCTTGATCGTTGCATGCCAAAACAAACAGCACAGAATGTAGTAATAAAGGTAAAAAAAAAAACAAATTAAGTTCCCTTATTACTAGAAACAGCAACCTCCTTTCACTTTCATTGATAAATTTTATATTTATTTTCCTATTCATATGCACAGGTAGTATTGAATCAAATTGTCCTTGGTCCATGTGTAATTGCTGTTGTGTTTGCATGGAATAATCTGTGGCTAGGGAAACTTGCAGAGCTTCCAAATAAGTATCAGAAAGACGCTCTTAAAACATTACTTTTTGGTAACCCCTCTTTCTTTTTGACTTAATGGGGAAAGCCTCCTTTTCCCACTTTCTCCATTAAGTCATTTTTTCTGCATTATGTCAACAGGAACAACACATGAGCATTCTTTTGTTCAGGTTACTCATAATAAAGTTTTACATTCAATGCAAATTTTAATTCTGCTCTGATTTATTTGCAGGATTCAGATTCTGGATTCCTGTCAGCGTGATTAATTTCTGGTATCTTTCTCTCTTTGTTTCTTGTTTTTTATGCAAATTCCCCTGTCTGCAACATTTCTTAAACCATATCTGTTAGAATGTGCCTACGTTCACTTCTTTCTTTTACAACATTGTATTGTCAATTAACCCAATTATATCGTTGCTAAAATTGGGTAGTTTTTTGAAAATAGAATGTTGTAATAGGAAGAAACAAAAGTAAGATTCTATATAAAGAAATAAATGAAAGTAGGTTGCTATTTCATTTATTAAAACCCTTGAGATGTTAAAATGCAATACTAGTGAATTGAAGGTTGATTTGGCATATGTTGCAGGGCGATTCCTCTTCAAGCACGTGTTGCTTTCATGTCCATGAATTCCATATTCTGGAATTTCTACTTGTCTTCGACTATGAGCAAGTGAACTTCTGCCCCTTTTATTTTATTTTTTATTTTTTAATTTCCCTTGGAGACATGTTTTTTGTAAGCACGTGATTGGGCCATTTTTGAAGCAAGGTAACTTTGATATTCCGGATAGTTTTTTATTCGGTTTTGGACTTCATTGCCTTTTTTTTTGTCTTGCTTTTGTAGTTGTAAAAAATATCGAAAAATAACTTGTATCAAATTTCTTTGCTGAATTGTATCCAAATGTTTTAGCTGCTTTGTTTTGGTGAGTGGGGCCCATACTTGCATTATAGGTGTGTGTTCCTTCAAAAATTAGGTTTTGAGTATTTTTGACGAAGAGCTGTTAGTTTTGTATGTTTTATGTCATTTTAAACCTTTCAAAAGCTTACAATTATAACACTCCCACCCAAATAAAACAATAGCTTCCTAGCTTCCAGTTTCTGACTTTCAATTTCCAGCTACCAATTGGTTTTGCCAAACATGCTCTTAGGTAGTGTTTTAATATGCAGTTTTTCGAAAAGGGGATGAAATAAAAACATTACAGCTAATGAAAAAAAAAGTAAAATTGTATTTGGTTTACACATACAATGTTTTAAAAACCGGTTTTTTAGTTGAACCGGAATGGTGACCGGTTCCCGGTTTAACCGATTCGACCGCTCGGTCAACCGCTTTCTATAATTTTCATATTTTTTCCTATTTTTCTACACATACATATATATATATAAATCATGAATTTGACGTTTACTAGTTCAAACATTAAAAATATACATAAAAATAAGTTGTAGATCAATCTAAATACATAAAAACAACACATAACCATAAATTTTAGTGTTTTATATCAATCCATATACGTCAAAAAGAAAATAAATACAATACCGAAACAAAATATAGTTTTAGATGAATACAAACACATCAAAAAAACATTATAATATTTACCATATGTTTTTATTTAGAGAAAACTAAATAGATTTGAAAAAAATCACCAAAGTTTATTATGCAAATAATTCTTTTTCATGTGTTTTTATTCGGTTTAAATCGGTTCAACCGGGTTTTCCTAAAAACCGGCCGGTTCAATCTGGTTCAGAAATCGACATAAAACCGGTGATAGTTGAACCACTCTCTCCCCGATTCCCTGTCCAACCGGCCGGTTCAAACCGGTTTTTAAAACATTGGACACGTAGGAATAGAATTTAGAGCATTTCTTTAATGGAATGCAATTCTTTCTCGTGTTTTTCATTCCATATGGAATGATGATTTTTTTTTTCCTTTAAGGGAATGAAATGATATATGTTATAATTATAAATTATTTTTAATGACATAATCTTCGATAAATATTAATCCCTTTAAAATTTTCAAAACTTTAATTAAATAACTTTTTTTTAAAATTTTTAAAAAATAAATAAAAACATTATTTATTATAATTATATTTTAGGATATCATGGTTTCCAAGTTTTATTATTATTATTATCATTATTTTTTAAAATTTTTTATATCATAGATAATTATCTTTTAACTATTTGCAAACACATGCTATGTACTTTGATCAGATTGAAAATATGTTTATATGCAACTTATTTAGGAATTTATCTTTTATTTAATTAAACTTATTTTTGCAAAATGATATTTTTTTAATTATCGATTTTATTTAATTTTAGTTTTCTATTTATTAATAGGAAACATGTATGAAAGACTCATTCCATCGTTATACTAACCAAACTTAACAATAAAATGTAACAATTCATTTTATTACATCGTTTATTCCATTTTGGTATCCATTTCATTCCTTTATGTTTTTATTTCAATCATATCAAACTTCGTGTTCTTTTTCTCTTAAATTGCCCAAACAAAGTCTGATTTGTGCGTGTTTGAGTATTTGAAATACTACCAACTTGTTCTTGATCTTTTCTAAATTACTCAATGCGTCGTATGTTTTCTACATCACGAATGCATGTAATTCTGTAAAGAGTGTAATTTTTTTTAGAACAACAAATCTGATCCACACCTAATTCCATCCTCAACATGACTTGAATCTTTGACCTCAAAAGAGGAAGAACAACACCTGATATCATTAGAGCATCTCCAACTCACTTCCATTTTTCATTATTTTCTCAATTTCTTCCTCCGTTCCTCTCCAATCTTATCCCATTTATTCCCCAATTTTGGGGGAAATGAATAATATAACACCATATTTGGTGTTATACTATTCATTTCCCCCCAAAATGGGGATGAACTTTGAGTTGTCGATTTTAGCCCTTTTTATATATTTGTATATTTTTGGTTTTTTATCTACTAATTATAATATAATATAATATTTAATACTTATAATATTGTGTTATATATTACATTATATTAATTAAATATAAATATAAAGTTTGTTTTTGTTTATCAAATTCATATTAAAATTTAAATACATATTGAAATTTTAAAATACGAAAACATATTTTACAAAGCTTATAATTAAGTGTTATAAATATAATATTATTTATTTAATATTATTGTAATGAAAAAATATAGATTATATATTTGTTAAAACCAAGTTAATAGAAGGGGTGTGTTTGACAATTTATATAAGTTTAAAAAATGAAATATATACTTTTTGGGGGTAAAAATGGGGTAAAAAATAATATAGGGTTGGTAATGAAACACTATGTACCCTATTTTTTACTCCATTTTTGAGAGAAAAAATGGAAGTGAGTTGGACTTTAGAGATGGTCTTAGGCTAGACACCTATTGGTATTAATTTCATTTATTATATATTTTTTATAGTTTTATAACTTCATTTGTTTTTTTATGAATTTTCAATGGATATGAGTAATCTGTTTGTAAATATATGATATGTTTTATTATATAAAATCTAAAAGTAATAATTAAAATAATTTAATAACTATTATGAATTAATAATGTATATTAAATTAATAATAACCGAATTATAATGTGTTTATTACTAATATGAAAAACTAGGTTATAACCCATAGAAACAACGATAGTTAAAATTATTATATTGATAAAAAAATTTAATAACTGTCAAAAGTAATGCAGCATACTGTCAAAAAAAAAAGCTAGGGTTTACCATGTATTTGATATGAAATTTAAATGAAGAATAGGGTAAAAATTTATCTCTGGTTTTGAGATATAGTAAAATCTTAGAGATTTTTAAAAGATAGATATCATATATTTCAAAAATGATATTAGGATATGATTTAAAATAAAAAAATTGAATCGACGTTAATATGTTATCAATAAAAACTGGAAATTTGAGAAATCATAGAAAATGTCACGTGTCATGGAGACATGCTAACAGAAACATGTGACATTTTTATGTTTTGTTTATTAGGATACTAGGTTATAACCCGTGTACTATACGGTTGATAAATTAAAATAACATAATAAGTGGAATAGGAGATTATTTATAATTGATTATTTCACGTAATTAATTACCAAACATTTTGAATTTCAAAATTTCTATTAATAATGCTAATTTGAAGGGACTTAAAAGAAGATTTAAATTTAAATATAAAATCCTAGAAAAAGATATATGTAATTTTTAGAAAGTAAGAAAAAAAATTATAAATTATAAAAAATTTCATGTGATAAGTTTAAGATTCAGAGAGATTTAGAGGTAGAGGTAGATAAACCAAACAATCAATTCAAATTATATAATATTGAATATGATTCAAAATTTCAAATAAATAATAATTTAGTCTAAAACACAAGTCAAACAGATCAAATTTTTTAAAAACCACTTTACTTAAGTTTTGGTGACATCCATTTCGATTATCACTTAAGTTTTGGTGACATCCATTTCGATTATCGTATTAACGATAGTGTTTGTAATCAGAACTAATATATCAAACAATGTTGGAGAGTCTATTTTAATCAATTTTAAATATGTATCCGTTTTAAACTTATAGCAATTTTATTATAGGGTTAAATGCACATTTCATATTTTTCTAATTTAACACGTTTGTAACCCATTACCGATGTGGCTTTTTTACCCCCCACACCCCCACCACATATTTCATATAAAAACCATTTCGTTGATCGATTAAAACAAAAATGGAATATTGTTTCATGCATGTGCATTTAACCTTTTTTTTTTTTTTTTTTTTTTTAACACAACGTGATTATTCTTAAGAGAAAAATATCGATGGATGCTAATAGAGTCACATAGATTCTATAGAACAAACACAACATTATAATTAAGCAAGAATCTCTCAATTAAGTGGGAAGGGCATAGAATCAAAGTTCAAATCAACCACAAAAGAATGAAGGCATATATACTTGGAAGAGGTAACACTCCTTCAATCACATCTTATATAAACCTTTAATAGGAAAATATAAGATTTACATGTCTCGAACATAATGAGCAACCACAACAACATCAACACTCAACAGTCTTTGCGACTTGCCAACGATGCATATGCATGGTACAACAACGAGGATAGGGACTCATTTTTGGACATTATATCTCCACCATCGCGTCTTTTTCCTCATATCCTGGTTACTATTCTTCTCTAACGTATCCTTATAGAAATATTTTAGTGAAATTGGTATCTCGTTTTTTCTTTCTTTCTTGTGGAAATATATTATTTGGGTGAACATGATTCAAATTTTGACACCTTTAGGTTATTATTAGCAAATCCCAAACATTTGTGTATAAATTATTTTAGCATGTCACTTTTAAATTAACCGAATTATGTATGCATAAATATTTCATTTTGCAGAATGAGAGAGTTGGTATTGATCCGTGGCTATGGTCACTTGACGATAGAATCTTCACTTTACCTTCCTCCATAATGAGGTGATCCCCTTTCTTATAGTCTCCCATATTCATCTTTTAATGACTTTTTTCCCTTTTCTTACTCTTGATAGGGAAATATAGTGAATTCATATTTATATTTAGATTGTTTTACTTAAAAAGTTATATGATTATCATAGTAATATAGTTTTTGTAATCGTATTTAACATACATATTGTTGAATGCAAAAAAATTTAGTTTCCCACAACCTCGAATGCATCTTGTGGTGTTGCAAAACAATTTGGCAAACCACACGAATTTGAGGTCAAGACAAATGGATCGATCACGAACACGAACACAAACACAACACGTGATTCAAACAATCAAACAAAA